ATATATTTGTATCCCACTAGCTTAACATCTTCGAGTGTTTTAGCTATGAGTTCAAAAAACTATTCTTTTGTAAGAGAACATAATTCTACTTGGATTGCTCTTTTCATTTAGATCAGTTATCTTTATGTCGACATTCTTCAATAAATTTAGGCTTAGGATCCTTATTTTCATTTAAGATATAAATTGAAATATTACATACAAAAATCTTATCAATAAATATTTTTTTCGATCCTAATTTCTTCCTATATTGACATAATTTATCAAAATATCCGCATTATTCTTAAGCATTTGGACTTCTTCCGAAAGTTTATTATCAAAAATATCATGGACCATTTTATGAATATTTGCATTTTTTATTTTAATAATTTGCACTTTTCTTTTAGGGATTTTTAGTTTTAAAATCGATCGGTCTTCCATGCTTCGGGCGTGCTTTAGATTCATTTGTTATAATATTAATAGATTGTCCTTCTAGGACATCAATTCTAATAGGAGCATTCTCGGTGGGGAAATGTATTTTAGTTACTCATTTAAGATCCGAAAATGCATCCGACGGTTGATTTTCAATACCTTGTAAATGAATTATCTTTTGAACTTCTAGTTCACATTATTTTGTACAATGATCAAGATGATATAAGATAGAGTACTCCATGTAATTTTTTCAACTTGTTTATTTTGCTTATTCTCTCCCCTAACATTGAAAAAACTATTTCATTAAATAAAAATCGATAAATCGAGCTCGTAAAAATATTTCGATTCATGGTTCAAGATATTGAATTATTGAAGAGGATCCAAATCTAACATATATCTCTAATCTCTTTTAGGTGCCCGTTTTAGTTTGTTATGGAGAGCACTACGGATATATATTGCAATGATAAAAATTCTTACATAAGAAATATTTAGCTTATGACCATAAATCAATTAAAGGAGGGAGAATTTTTTATAACTTATAGGTCCGATTAGAACAAGTATTACTGCATATAAGATTGCATGTCTCCAAACATAAACAAGGAGTTTCATTTTTATAAATAATGGTTTAGTTATCGATTGAAACATTTTGATAAATAATTATTCTAAACCTTTACGAGTATAAACATAAGCAATAGGCTATTCAATCTTTATTCTAATAGCCAATCAATAATAATTTAATATTTGAGAAATAAATTCATCGGCATTATCAATTTGACTTGTTTTAATGGTATAATCTAAAAATTATACTCGAAATCAAATTATTTGCTAGGAATCTAAAAAATATCGGGTTTCGAGTAGATAATCGGCATATATGTGACCATCTTGTGCATGCATTTATTAAAATCATAAAATATTTAAATGGTCTACATAGTGGATGAATTGATCAACATATATGATCACCTTGAATACATTCTAAAAACATTGAAGATTTAATCTTAATTTTACTTGGTAATGGCTTAATAATTAATTTACCTTGAGAATATGCATAACATGAAAATTTATTAAATTCTGGTTCTTCAATAGATATCCATATGAATTTTTAATAATTTTTTGCATAATGAAAAATCTAAAATAATACAACTGGTTATGTCACATAATAAAAGTATTTGAATAGTAAACTTCGGTTTACTATAACATTTATTTCAATCATTCCAATATTTGTAATAAAGACTAGAAGAGAAAGCGGATAAATTTTTCAATACATATTTTATACCCAATATAATTATTATAATATATAAGTATTCACATTTGTTATCTTGATATAATATCAATTTAGATGAATATCTTTAAAACTCAATAAATTTCTATAAAACTTTAAATAGAATAGTACATCATTTATAATAAAATTCATCCTTTCAAATAATAACACATTGCTCTCTAGCACCTTTAAATTATGTCACTGCAAGTAATAATATATTCATTTATAATAAAATTTATCCTTTCGGATAATAACACATTGCTCTTCCGGAGCCTTTAAATTATGTCACCGCAAGTAATAATATATTCGCTGTTCTAGAGCCTCAAAAATTTATCTTTTCAAGCAATAATATATTCTTTTTTTTTAAACCTTCAAAGTTTATCTTTTCAAGTAATAATATAGTCGATCTTTTAGAGCTTTCTATTAATTGATATTATCATATATAATATTAACATAGAATAAATATTAAATAAATAAATATATTCTTCATAAAAATAAATGGTAAAATAAATTTATATTTATTTCTATTCAATAGAAATTATAAGAAAATATAAATCTTATTTATAAATAAAAATGCTACCAAGTTATTAATTTCAATTACCACCGTTTGGATATATAAAATTGGCCTCTCTATTTTACTTTTTCTTTTTTAACGAGGTTTGATAAGGCTCAATGAGGTGTTTTAGTGTACGGTAGGTACGCAATCAATGTCTACTCATACCACATTTATAACATTTATTTTTAGAATAGTAACTTGGTCCATTTTTATTTTTTCTTATTTTTTTAATAGTTTATCCACTTCTAGTGGTGAGATATATTATCATAGTCATCATGATTATAATGATAATTATTTCGACCACATCCATGGTTACGATCACGTCTTCGTTCGTGTCTAAAATTATTATAAGTTGTCACATTCATTTCAAGGAATGGAGTGGATCTAGTTGGACGAAATTTATTCTTTTTCATCAATATTTTTTCATTTTATTTAGCCACGAACAAATATGAAATCGATTCAAAATATTTTTTAAACTCTTTTTCTCGATATGCTACTACATGAGCATATTTGAGATATAAAAAGTAGATAATATTAACTTAGCATCAAGCACTTATGATCAATAATTCTTGTCCAAAATGTCAAGGGCTACAAAATCAAGTTTTGTGATGGTTGATATCATTAAAATTGTATATTACAAAGTATAATAATAACAATATTAGGAAATAAAGACAAAATAAAATAATAAAATTTAAATAAAAATAAACATAATAATAAAATTGTATATTACAAAGTTTTATGATGGTTGATATCATTAAAATTGTATATTACCTCAATGGTTGCAAGTTTTGTTCTCGTGTAGCCAGGATTTATAATCTGCCTAGTGGATTTATAGGTTCAGGTTCTCTTGATTGATAAATGTGATTTAGCATCACTAGTGTAGTGGCCTTAACAGTGGTCGTGCAAATAATATCTCTAGGATTTGTGACGGAAGTTAGTTTCTTGACGACATACTCAAGTATTGGCTGTTTCTAGGAATTTATAGCTGATGAATATGTGATGTGTATGTTCTAAATTATGTTGAAAGTGCTTAGGATTTATCATTGCTAATAATTATAGCAAGCTATGCCCGGTACTTAATGATGCGTGCATGAATTTTATGGAATCATTCCTAGTGTGTGTGTGTGAATATTTATGCATCCCATATTATATTATGGATCCACTGTTTATGATGGTGTGGTGAGGTACAAACATAGAGCTCGTGGTCTTTTTTTCTTATAAATGTTATGAAATTTGTATTAAAGAAATATTAGTAGAAAGCAAAAACCAGTAAGACAGTGGCTTATGCAAGAGACCGAGACCATAAAGCTAGTGATCTTTTTTCTTCTTCCAAATAAGCTTTGCAGTGGTGGCAAGAATGGTTGGGTGGACCAAGAAAAGAATAGGTCTTGTTTGTCTGATAAAAACTCTTGTTGGGCTGCCCAAAATGGCTTTCTGATTTGCCTAATAAAAATATCCGCCAACCACAGGATTAACTTATCATCGTATATATATATATTTTTACAGTCATAATTAGTTTTTTATTTTTATTATGCTACGGATAAGATAAAATACATAAAATTATTTTTTAAAAAATATTTCATTTTAATGTCTCGTATTATATTGTGCGTCTATCAAAATATATCAAAACAAAACTAAATAAAAATTCATTCAATTTTATCATTTTTTTTAATCAAAATTTATATTTGACTAATTATTCTTTATAATTTCATAATTTTTTTTATTAAAAAATATTATTTATTTATCTCTATTCACATTTTTAACTAAAAACTTATTTTGTAAATTGTTTTTTCCCAAACATCTTTTTGCCTTAAAATTTTTAATTAAAAAAACTAGAGAAAAAAATAAGGACTAGAATGACTAAAATGAAAAAAAAAATAGAGACCAAAATCAAATAAAAAATATTTACAAACTAAAAAAATAATATTAAAAAAAACAAGGTGTAATGTCACTAAACTTTTATAATAAATATCTTTAAAATATTTGAAAACTATAAAAAAAAACCGAGTACATAATGAAAGAAATAGTATATTTGAATCTAGGTGAATGGTGTATATGAGTTTAGATGAATAATATTTAGAATAATGCAATGAATAATAAACTTATGTTTTGGCATTTTTTTTTTTTTTTTTACAATAAAAGAGGAATTATATACAAGGAGTTATACTCTCCTTTCTCATACATAAAGGTAAAATTCATAAATAATTTTTTATGCTGGTATCATGTTTTTGTGAGAAAGAGTCCAAACTCAAGCATAATTTCGCAGCATTAAAAAAAAGAAAAATACCCTTGAAGGTAACACATAACTCTTTGTTTCGTAGGCTGAGCCCGAGCCTAATTGACTCTTTTTAATCATTAATATTCAACCTACACTGCATTGTCTCCTTGTCATCCCTAATCTAGTAATTAAACAGCTAATTCTTGATGCTAATTGAGCTTGCACGCATGGGAAAGATGAGAGAATTAAGAAAGGAATTGGTGGGCAGCAAGTGCATCTAGCAACATGCAAATTGCAAATATGGGTTTATAGATTGAAGAAAAGAAAGCCAAGTGACAATCACGTGGCCGAAAGACCAATTGCTTGTTATGGCCCTAAAAGTTTATCTCTGGCAATCAGACTCTACCCTATCAAGGATCCAAAACATGCGTTTGCATCACAAAAATACAACCCGTTCACCACCTTGCAACAAGCAAGACAATTGGAAATTTAATGAAGCATAGAAATTAATCAAGAAAATCCTAACACAATCAATCTTGACAAACTAATGATTCTTGGGCTCAGCTTCCACCTGCAGCTTTCTTTTGAACAAGCTCCTCAATCATGTCAGCTACTTCTTGAACTGTTGATACATTTTGAGAGTTCTCCTCTTCTACATTAATGTCAAACTCTTCTTCCAATGTCATTACTATCTCCACCTGCAATAACATTATAGGATCACATCTCACTTTAAATTTCCTAATTAAGAAGTGAAATTTCCCTTGATTTTGTTTGAATGGTTTTGATCAAATGAATGACACAACACAACCTATAGTATAATACATCGGTAGCAAAAAATGGCTTACTGTGTCAAGAGAATCAGCACCAAGTTCAACAAACTCGGTTTCGTTGGTGAGCACGGTCTCAGGAGTTAAAGCCAACTGTTTCCTCACAATATTAATAACTTTCTCTACAGTCTCTGGCTTTGCCTATCAAATCATGTACATTATAGGTTATAATTTCACATTTTTGTATTTGCTAGGTTCAATAAAAAAATGAAAAGAATAGGCACCGAAGTGTATTATAAAATGTGGAGGAGGGTGGAATTACCGCACAAGAGACACGGAATCGAGAGGCCGTCAAAGAAGGGAAGCCAGTGCTCTTTCCCCAACCTACCGAAACCAGCTTTAAACCAGCTGCCTGTACCAAAAGAACCACAGATGTACATTAATGATTGGAAATTTTTTTTGTCCAAGTACAACAATGAAAATTTTAAAATTGTTGTCATATGTTTAATAGTTCTCGATATTTGATTAGTTGCGTCAGCCACTAGACCCACAATAAGAGAAAATGGACTCAATTTGTTTTGCAAATTTGTTATTTATTTTTCGACATGACCATTTACTAGTTTAGGAAGTTGCTTTAGCTCTAGTTTTCTGTCCTATACAAAGATTTAATGCACTATTGTAAGGGCAATATCCTCTTGGCTAGGAGCATATCATGTCAAACTACTTCTCACCATTAATTAGATGGGTTTATGAAAGAGGCAATGCCTTAAAAATTAAGCACAGTCACGTCATCCCACACCTCCGCACACAAATAAATAAATAATAAAAAATCGTGAAGAATGCTACGAAAGAAGCATAAAACATAGTTTTCTTGCAAAAATTAACGAGCATTAATTAAATCTCTAAACGTCCAAAGTTTTTAAGAGATGTAATATTGAAGCAGTAAGTGTAAGTAAATGAAATTAATTAAATGAGCAAGAGGATAGTGAAAGCTTTAATTACTTGATTAGTCTTGTTGGACTGGCTACACAAAGGTTGGAACCTAAGACAAGTAGCTGAGACAGAGGCCATTAGCGGAGAACAAGCTCAAGCACAAAATAACTTGTGAATTGTGATGGAATTAGAGGAATTTGCCCTAAGAAAGGAATTGATAATGGCAGGTAGTTGAGAAAGAGAGCTTGTATCGACTTTTGCTATTGAAAAATGTTAAAAAAGGATTAATGAAAAGCGAAGCAGAGATGCGAGTGGTGAAGATTCAGTCTCATCATTATCTAAGGCCTATCTGCTGCTTGCGTGTCATTGGATTGCTTTCTGTCTTGTGGGCTCTCTCAAGATTCGAAAAATGCCAAGTTGAATGGGAAAATTGTCTTTTAGATTTTTCCCACGTGATAATGCAGGGTCTCTCCTTCGGTCAATATTTTTTTTATCCTCTTACAGCATGGTGTTAGTGAATATTTTTTACACCCTCTTACAGTTTGCTGTTAGTGAATATATTTGTAGTCAAATGCTCTAGTACCTTTCGTTGAGCAAATACCCAAGAATGATAAAAAACAAAGTGTGTATGAATTTTAACATGGTTCAACAAATATTCAATTCTAAAAAAGAATTCATTATTATAATCATTAATCACTCACTCATACCAAAAACATTATTATCTAAAATCCAGTTATATCCATATCTTTCACTACAAAAAATTACTACACAAATTTTGTACAACAAAATAATTCCTTACGATATACACAAATTACACAAAACTCCGATACAAAGAGTACGTCTTTGTCGCCCTAGCAAAAGGATGCTCGAGATGCGTCTTCATTTTGCTATAGCCTAAACAATTCTCAACAACAGACATCTCAGCTCTTAATACATGTACTTGTAGCACCATTTTATTTTTCGTTTATGAGAGATATTTGTAGTGTCCTTCGATAATTAATAATTATATAAATTCTCCCTCGGTCTCCTTGTTTTTTTTTTTATAAGAAAACAACATGCGATAAAAAAAATTTAAATAAAAAGTATAATTTTTAAATTAATTTTCAAACACCGAACCGCTACTAAATTGGGAATAACAATGGAGTTAAACTAAAGAAACCAAAGTAAATTGTTTTTTTTTTTTTTTACCTCTTCTATTTATACTCTAGATTAATTAGGCTTAACTTGATTAGGGATATCTTTACTTTTAAGTTGGATTGGATTAATTCTAAAAAGAGATCAGATCAAATTAAACCTTGGTGGAACATTTTAAAAATGCATCAATTTTTTTGTCTTCACTCGTTTTTAATGTTTGATGATTTTTTTTTCCTTCATAAATCACAAAAATCATAAAACTGTAAAAACTCGCAAAAAGGGTAAAATTTCGAAGAAATGGATTGGACAAGTCAAATAACATATTTAATTTTCTGAATTTTTAGATTTTTTTTTTTTTTTTTTGGTTAAAACTAAGAGGACTAAACTTGGGTTATTTATATTCAGTGTCTTAGAGGCCATCCCACCTTTAGCAACTGTCCTAATTATCTGAAAAAGAGCTGCAGGCCACTTGTTCAGCTAATACTTCTTTGTTGAAGCCAATTTAAGAACACTCAAGTGTCTTCATGTCAGCTCTGTAATGCTTTTGTGTGAATTCTAGCAACATAGGCCATGTAAAATTTGGATATTTTCGTGCTTTAGCATTAGAATATTGTTGCTAAAGCAAAACGTTAAAAAATATTGACAGAATAATATCCCCATTGCTGATTTTTATAGCCATTCAATCGCTAATCCAATTTTGGGTTTTCTTTAAAAAAAAAAAAAACAAAACAAAACAAAAAACAAAAAAAGCAAAAAAAAAGCAAAAAAAAAAAAAATATTAAACATCCCTAAAATCATTCAAAAATCTGTTAAAATCTTTCACAAATCTTTTTAAATTGGAATCTCCTTATTTTTAGCTAAAAAAATCTCAAAATTAAGATTTGCCAATTAAAATTTGATTTTTGAATTGATTTCGAGAGAAATTTTAGGATGTTTTTGGCCTATAAAAAGCTTTGGAATTCCAATTTGCAAAAAAAAAAAAAAAAAAAAAGGAAAAAAAAGGAGGAGAAAAAAAAAGGAAGAAAAAACGCAGCAAAAAAAAGAAAAAAAAACAAAAAAAAGAAAAAATACCGAAAACCTAAAAAGAAGAAGCCAAACACGCCCTAACCCAATAACCATACCCAATTACCCGTTTACCTAGCTGAAACTTTTGAGCCTCAATTGATCGTTTTCCGATCAGATTTTGACCCCGATCAACATACCCAAGTGTAGCCCATCACTAGATCGGTCCATCAACACCGGTTAGAGAGAGAAAAAATCACGAAGGAGAGAGAAATCGAGAGATCAAACCACCAAAACCCGACCCGAAAAAATACTCGTTCGTTTCTCTCAAATCCGATCACCAACACAAGAACCGCCACCACGGAACCGATTGCCGGTCTCCCCGAGTGTTTTCATATGAATATCTCGACCCAACGACACCGGAAAATGGTTTAATTAAGCTCAACCCGTTTTCGACCCGTTTTGGAAAACTCGGACAAATTGGCCGATCTAGAAGTTGTTGAAGGTTCTAACCACCGCGGACATCTTCCTCTCAACCTTACGAGTCGACCGGTGGGTTTGGAATCTCGATAGGAGGTCGGATTCATCGCCGGTGAAGAAGGTAGATCCGACCGAACCTTTGGAGGCTCCGATCTCCCTCCTCCGGCGTCTTCTCCGGTTGGAACCACCGCCATCGGAGTCGCAATGGCCGGATCTACAAGGCTGGGTGGTCCACGAGCCGGAACGGTCACCGAAAGACGAACGGTCGCTTGGCGGTGACTCTTGGTATTTCGGGGGCATTTTGGTAATTTTATAGTGTATGTGAATTTTGGAATTTTTTTTTCATTTTTTTATGTGTTTTGTAATAATTTTTTTGTCTTATGCATGTTCGAAAATCCAGAGCTATTTAGTTGTGGAATTTATTCTAATATGTGATTTTTTTTATGTGATTAAAATATTGAATCAACGAGTCTCCTATTTATTAGGGACGGACGGTGATTTTAATACATTTAATTTCTATTTGATTTTAGTTAATTAAAATCTTAGTTTTTTTTTTATTATTAAGAAAATAAAAAAAAACTAGAAAAAATATATATCAAAATTTTCGACGAAGCCTCCTATTTGATAGGGGCGACGTCACCAAAAATCACCTTTTAATTAAGACGTCCTTCGACACGTCGGTTGTGTTAAGGCTTAAAGTGGATCCGATGTTTGAATCGACGTGTCACCCGACGAAGGGGATCGACGATCGTTTCAACACGATGCCACGCTCAAAACTAAAAAAATTCAATTTGTTTAAAAAATGGAAGATTAAGAGTCGGAAAATAATTTGACATTTTAGGAGATAAATTTAGAGCTAAAACCGGACGTGGTACCTTTCTTCGGAAATGGCGTTTTTGGGTGATCGACATCTTCCCAAAAGCGTAACCAACTCCTTATCATAGAATCTCCGAACCGGCGTCCGTTTTAGGTTCCTAGGCTCTTCAATACTAGGTGGCGACTCCAAACTCGTAAATAAACTTATAAATATTCAATCTAATTTTAGATATTTTCGAGGAGTCTCGTCCGATGTCGGGTAGCAACATCCCCATTGCTGATTTTTATAGCCATTCAATCGCTAACCTTTTGCTAAAACATCCGAACAGATTTTAGTACCTCAAATAGTGATAGAATTTTATCTATAATTATACCATCTCTATTCCGCCTCTAAATCTCACGAGATACTATTTGATTGCTATTTGCTCGCTATTTAACGATAGATTTGTGTCCGTCACTAAAAACCATCATTATTTTTTGGTTTCCTAATTATATATAATTTACATATTTATGATTAAAAAGAAAATTGATTGTTCGTTGATAAGTTTTGTTGTTTCTTATATATATACCTACAAGAACTCGAGATCCGTTGATATATATATATATATATATATATAAAGAATAGTAATGCTAATTGAATTAGATTCATTGGTCACAGCTTGATAACTAATCTTCTGCAGGAGATTTTATAAAATGTTTTTTTTTTCAAGTAAAAATAATTGAAATCCAAACTAGTCATTAAAGTAAGATTTTAAGAGCCTCTTAAGTTTTTCCTTGATTGCCATCGCTCGTAGTATTTTTTTTTCTTTGTTTGTCTTTTCATCTCGCTTTAATATCAAATTTAGCAGTTTTATTATTAAATATGTTTTTTTTTTTGGTATTTGTTCAATTTATTTGGTATTTTCCTTAGTTTAAAGTTAAAGTTGTTGTTTGATTATTTTTAATTGTTTCTTGTGTTCTTCTACTTTTTAATGGGCTTTTGTGCTGCAATAAAAGTTTTGGACAGATTGCTCACAAAAGAGTGTCAATTGTCCGTCTATTTATAAAATAATTTTGATATTTTATATCCGAATTCTAAATTTTTATTTTATATATGAATTTTATATTTTTAGTTTCTAAATAAAAATTTCACTGTATATTTTTTTTAACATTCTTCATGATATTTAGACGCATTTCATTCTCTATATTTAGATAATCATCTTGTACACCGATTGACTTCATATTTAGACATAAAAGTTTCTCGTAATTTTAGATCAATGAAATTTCTATCTTTAGTAATAATAATAATAATAATTAGAGTTTTTCATGCATCGGTCTACATATAGTTTTTATCTTTCTATATGGATTTGTGAAAATCACAGGATAAAACTAAACGTGTTTTCTTTTACCTTTTTTATAGTTATTATAACTACACCAATGTAATAGGTTTTTTTTTTTTTTTTTTTTTTTTTTTTTCTCTCTCTTTTGGGTCATCGCAACCCAATATTAAATGTTTTATGGCACTATTTTTCCTCATTGACGTATATTAATTGCATTTTGCTTTCTATCAACTCAAGCATTGAAAGGTCAACAAATTTACCTTTCTCGATTAATAGTACTTGTCAAATAGGGTGTCAAAGAAAAGAGTGCTTTGAACCAATAGTTGAAGAGCCTATTAATTTGTTCCAAATAGAAGAGACCAAACAAGAAGGAAAGAAGAAAGCAAA